GATGAGACAGACTGTTTATGTGTCCTTAGGCAAGACACTTCACCACATCTCCTCTCTCCTCTCTCTCTCCTTCTCCTCTCTCTCTCTCTCTTCTCCTCTCCTTCTCTCTCTCCTTCTCCTCTTTCCTTCTCCTCTCTCCTTCTCCTCTCTCCTTTCTCCTCTCTCCTTCTCCTCTCTCCTTCTCCTCTTTCCTTCTCCTCTCTCCTTTCTCTTCTCTCTTCTTCTTCCTCTTCTTCTTCTCTTCTCCTCTCTCCTTCTCCTCTTTCTCTCTCTCTCCTTCTCCTCCTTCCTTCTCCTCTCTCCTTCTCCTCTCTCTTTCTTCTCTCTCGTTCTTCTCTCTCCTCTTTCCTTCTTCTCTCTTCTTCTCTCTCTCTCTCTCCTCTCCTCTCTCCTTCTCTCTTCTCTCTGTCTTCTCTCCTCTTTCCTTCTCCTCTCTCCTTCTCCTCCCACCTTCTCCTCTCTCCTCTTTCCTTCTCCTCTCTCCTTCTCCTCTCTCCTTCTCCTCTCTCCTTCTCCTCTCTCCTCTCTCTCCTCTTTCCTTCTTCTCTCCTTCTCCTCTCTCCTTCTCCTCCCACCTTCTCCTCTCTCCTTCTCCTCTCTCCTCTTTCCTTCTTCTCTCCTTCTCCTCTCTCCTTCTCCTCTCTCCTCTTTCCTTCTTCTCTCCTTCTCCTCTCTCCTTCTCCTCTCTCCTTCTCCTCCCACCTTCTCCTCTCTCCTCTTCTCTCTTCTTCTCTCCTCTCTCTCTCCTCCTCCTCTCTCCTCTCTTCTCTTTCCTCTCTCCTTCTTCTCTTTCTCTGGAGTCATGTTTATTTTCTCTCTCTTGACTCTGATCTTGTTTTGAGCTTCACTCATTTTTATTTCCATCTGTTTATTTTTACTGGAACAACCCTTAAACCCTGGTGTTTGTTTGTTTGTTTGTTTGTTTGTTTTTCAGACCGAGTGACGGAGGTGAAGACGGACATTTACGTGACGAGCTTTGGGCCGGTGTCCGACACAGACATGGTGATTTCCTCGTGTTTCATCTTCACATCTCGCACGCTCCATTTGTGTTCTGAAAATGTCGCGTTCGCCCAAAACTGCAGATTCTCGGGTTTTATAAGATTTACTTTCTTCTCTCACTTCTCTAAACAGAAATGGAGGCCTCAGACACTCACACACCGTCATTCTCCTATTTACACGTCCATCCTCAAACCCAAAACAAACAAGAACAACAGGAGGAGTCAGGTCAGGTCCAGACGTGTGGAAGCTCCATTGTGAACATGAATTGTTCTGATAATTAGACCCCCACACCCTGTACAGGCCCAACTAACAAACACAAACTGTAAACAAGTGTGTGTGTTAGGCTTAACGCTCAATTCTGATTTTTTTTGTGAAATCCGAAGTTTTTGCGAGGTCGTTCACATTTTCAACTAGAAAAGCAGTCAGAGAGCGCAGACCTCCGCCAAGGACTACAGTCCCCCTCATATTAATTGTGTTTTCCATAAATATTTGTCTCGTATCTTTCAATTTGGAATATGAAAGAGGATCCCATTGTCCATCCCTGAGTCAAATTTCATGGGGTTTGGTCAATAATTAACCCAGATATTGAGAAACAAAATTTTTGGCCCCATTTACCCCAATGTTAACTAAAATTTTCAAAGTGATCCAGAATCCAGGATTTCTTCCGGATCAACCCCAAAATGAAATCAGTTCTTCCTTTTCACATTTCCAACAAATCCTGAAAATTTCATCAAAATCGGTCCATAACTTTTTGAGTTATGTTGCTAACAGACAAACAAACAAACAAACAGACAAACAAACAAACAAATGCCGGCAAAAATGTAACCTCCTTGGCAGAGGTAATTAAATGTGACTTGTATGTGACTCCAGTGTGAACATTAAACGGCCCAAAAGTGTCCCACATGTGACACTGGAGACACGACGACGTCAACCGCAGCGAGCGTCTCTGTGTTTACACAAGTTGAACAAACATGGACGCAGCATCGAGCACCTGGAGATTTTAAAGTTCCTCTCGTACCGGAGCCACAACATGAACAACTGACTTGTTTTAAGGAGGAGATTGAGAAGGAGAAGGACGAGGTTTTTGGTCGTGGTGTTTTGTGGGACAGAACGTTGAAAGGAACGTGTGGATGTGGAGACGGAGCCAAGAGTGGTGAGTGGAGATGTGCTTCACTTCAGTGACATGGAGTTCAGTAACAATTTTCTCCTACTTCAGCGCAGAATAGTGACGTTTGTGTCTTGTTGATAACGTGTAGGTGGATGAATGCACTTTGGCCGTTCACACTGAAGTCACATGGTCAAAAGATCAGATATGTATCGGTTTCAGGAGCACAGATCCAAGTGTCCTGGGTCGCACATTTGAAAAAATCAGATCTGTGTCGTTCAGACTGTCATTAAAAGATCAGATACAGGAACATAGGGGCCAAAAATTCAGATTTGGGTCACTTCAGGCTGCAGTCTGAACACAGCCTTAGTTCCAGAGTAGTTTCAGTGTAGTTAGCTCCTGCAGATAGAAAGAAGTGTCACCAGCGTCTGACAGAACTGAAGAAGCAGCTTGGACGAGCTGAGAAACATCTTCAACCAAACTAACTTTTGTCCAGTCGACAAACTGAATTTTCTTCTCGCCGCGTTTCACTTTCGTTTTTTGTCGCTCTGAGTGTCTCCTCCCTTTGCTCTCTGTGCTGTCACTCCCCCTTCAGAGCACTATCACACACACACTCGTCGTGCATCGCACTAATGAATCTCCTGCATGTCACATCAGGTGTGTCTGAGTGTGTGTCTGTGTGTGTGTGTGTCTGTGTGTGTTTGTGTGTGTCTCTGTGTGTGTGTGTGTGTCTGTGCTGTGTGTGTGTGTGTCTGTGTGCTGTGTGTGTGTCTGTGTGTGTGTCTGTGTGTGTGTCTGTGTGTGTGTGTGTCTGTGTGTGTGTGTGTGTGTCTGTGTGTGTGTCTGTGTGCGTGTGTGTGTGTGTGTGTGTATGTGTGTGTGTGTGTGTCTGTGTGTGTGTATGTGTGTGTGTGTGTATGTGTGTGTGTGTGTGTATGTGTGTGTGTGTGTGTGTGTGTGTGTGTGTGTGTGTGTGATGTGTGTGTGTGTGTGTGTGTGTGTGTGTGTCTGTGTGTGTGTGTGTGTGTGTGTGTGTGTGTGTGTACTGTCCCTGAACACACACAGAGTCTCATCACACATGTGTGTTTGTTTACACTCGCACACACAGGTCAAACAGTGAGATTATTTTCTTTTTACACACAGTCGGTTTGAGTGTGGATTATAAGGACATTTATTAGTGCAGACTTGTGAGGACCAACCCAAAACCAAACCCACCAAAAACCAACCCAAACCAGAAGGACCCGACTAAGAGCTTCTGGGTCCAGTGCAGCAGCTGCTGTCGCTGTGAAAGAACCATCAGTCCTGATAGACTTGATTTGGTCCCGTTATAGTCCTAGTCTAGTTCTGGTCTGGTTCTGGTGTAGTCCTGATGTAGTTCTGGTCTAGTCCTAGTCTAGTCCTGGTGTAGTCCCGGTGTAGTTCTGGTCTAGTCCTGGTCTAGTCCTGGTCTAGTCCTGGTCTAGTCCTGGTGTAGTCCTGGTCTAGTCCCAGTTTAGTCCTGATAGACTTGATTTGGTCCTGTTAAAGTCCTGATTTTCTCCTAGTCTAGTCCAAGTTTAGTCCTGGTGTAGTCCTGGTTTAATCCTGGTCTAGTCCTGGTGTAGTCCTGGTATAGTTTTATTCTAGTCCTGGTGTAGTTCTATTCTAGTCTTGGTCTAGTCCTGGTCTAGTCCTGGTGTAGTTCTGGTTTAGTCCTGGTGTAGTTCTGGTTTAGTCTTGGTCTAGTCCTGTTCTAGTCCTGGTGTAGTTCTGGTTTAGTCCTGGTGTAGTTCTGGTTTAGTCTTGGTCTAGTCCTGGTGTAGTTCTATTCTAGTCCTGGTGTAGTCCCGATGTAGTCCTGGTCTAGTTCTGGTGTAGTTCTGGTGTAGTTCTATTCTAGTCCTGGTGTAGTTCTGGTGTAGTCCTGGTCTAGTCCTGGTCTAGTCCCAGTTTCAGAGTCTTTAAGTGTGATCTCCTCCTCATCTCGTGGTTTTATTTTAATACATATCACTCGTCTCCATAGCGACGCGTTTCTAATTTTAGCGCCTGGTGTCAAACCTACACAGATCCTGGTTGTAATCTGTCGCCGTGGTTACGCCTGCTCTGATCAGTCGCCGTGGTTACGCCTGCTCTGATCTGTCGCCGTGGTTACGCCTGCTCTATTTTCTGCACAAAGAGACGAGCGTTCTTCTGTGGGAAAATGTTCGAGACCAAAATAAACCGGTTTAAACGTGACAAGAGTCAGACCTGAGTTTACACAACAGAACTGAAGACTTGGTCTAGATCTGGGTTAGATCTAGTTTAGACCTGGTTTAGTCCTAGTTTAGACCTGGTTTAGTCCTGATTTAAACCTGGTTTAGACCTGGTTTAGATCTAGTTTAGTCCTGGTTTAGTCCTGATTTAGACCTGGTTTAGTCTTGGTTTAGTTCTGGTTTAGTCCCAATTTATACCTGGTTTAGTCCCGATTTAGACCTGGTTTAGTCCTGGTTTAGATCTGGTTTAGTCCTGGTTTAGTCCTGGTGTAGACCTGGTTTAGTCCAGATTTAGACCTGATTTAAACCTGGTTTAGACCTGGTTTAGATCTAGTTTAGTCCTGGTTTAGTTGTGGTTTAGTCCTGATTTAGACCTGGTTTAGTCCCAATTTAGATGTGGTTTAGACCTGGTTTAATCCTGGGTTAGACCTGGTTTAGACCTAGGTTAGTCCTGGTTTAGACCTGGTTCAGTCCTGGTTTCTTTCCTCCCGGTCCGTCTGTATCTCAGAACTCTGACCTCCTCAGATCTTAAACTGTGGTCCTCAGCGAGAAGGTTCAGGGTGGAGTCTCTGTGTCTGGTTCCTCCATCAACCCAAAACACGAAGAGCACGTCAGATCCTCCAACTCAGGTCCTGACCAAGACTAGACCGAGATCTGGAGGTGGAAAACCCGAACGGCTCACTGCTCCTGGTCTCCCCGTCTCTGGTCTCTGGTCTCTGGTCTCTGGTCTGGTCTCTGGTCTAACCCTGTGTTTGTCTCTGGTTTCTTCAGGAGTACACCATCGACGTGTTCTTCCGTCAGAGTTGGAAGGACGAGCGTCTGACCTTCCACGGTCCCATGAACATCCTGCCCCTGAACAACCTGATGGCCTCCAAGATCTGGACCCCGGACACGTTCTTCCACAACGGCAAGAAGTCTGTGGCCCACAACATGACCATGCCCAACAAGCTCCTGAGGATCAAGGACGACGGGACGCTCCTGTACACCATGAGGTAAGAACCAGAGACCAGAGACCGGGACTAAACCAGGACTAAAGACCGGGACTAAACCAGGACCAGACCAGAGACCACAACATGACCATGCCCAACAAGCTCCTGAGGATCAAGGATGATGAGACACTTCTGAATACCATGAGGTAAGAACCAGAGACCAGGACTAAACCAGGACTAGAGACCGGGACTAAACCAGGACCAGACCAGAGACCAGACCTGAGACCAGACCAGAGACCAGAGACCACAACATGACCATGCCCATCAAGTTCCTGAGGATTAGAGACGATGGAATGCTTCTGTACACCATGAGGTAAGAACCAGAGACCGGGACTAACCCAGGACCAACCCAGGCCCAGACCAGAGACCAGACCTGAAACCAGACCAGAGACTAAACCAGGACCATAAACCAGAGACCAGAGACCGGGACTAAACCAGGACTAAGGCTGTGTTCCGTTTACTCCCAGAGCTCAGAGTTTGTGTATTTGTGTATTTGTACAGGAAGATGGAAAGAGCAAAATGACAAAAACAATCAAGGTTTGAACTGTTCACTTTATCCAAACTTTATCCAAACTTTATTCAAACTTTATTCAAACTTTATTCAAACTTTATTCAAACTTTATCCAAACTTTATTCAAACTTTATCCAAATTTTATCCAAACTTTATTCAAACTTTATTCAAACTTTACGTTTAGTCCTAGTTTAGTTCAGGTTTAGTCCTGGTTTAATTCAGGTTTATTATAAGCATTAGCATTACTCTGTTGGCATTAGCTCGTTAGCATTAGCTCGTTAGCATTAGCTCATTAGCATTACTCTGTTTACATTAGCTCGTTAGCATTACTCTGTTTACATTAGCTCGTTAGCATTAGCTCGTTAGCATTAGCTCGTTAGCATTACTCTGTTTACATTAGCTCGTTAGCGTTAGCTCGTTAGCATTAGCCCGTTAGCATTAGCTCGTTAGCATTACTCTGTTTACATTAGCTCGTTAGCATTAGCTCGTTAGCATTAGCCCGTTAGCATTAGCTCGTTAGCATTACTCTGTTTACATTAGCTCGTTAGCATTAGCTCGTTAGCATTAGCAGCCGTTAGCATTAGCTCGTTAGCATTAATCTGTTTAGCTCGTTAGCATTAGCTCATTAGCATTAGCTCGTTAGCATTAGCTCGTTAGCATTAACACGTCCCTCGGTGTTTTTCAGGTTGACGGTTCACGCCGAGTGCCCCATGCACCTGGAGGACTTCCCCATGGACTTCCACTCCTGCCCCCTGAAGTTCGGCAGCTGTAAGTACAACACCTGTCAGGAACGTGTCTCAGGATGGTCCAGGTCTGGTCCAGGTCTGGTCCAGGTCTGGTCCAGGTCTGGTCCAGGTTTAGTCCGGGTCTGGTCCAGGTCTGGTCCAGGTTTAGTCCAGGTTTAGATTACATTTAGTCCTGGTTTAGACTGGATATAGTCCTGGGTTAGTCTAGGTTTAGTTTATGTTTAGTCCTGGTTTAGTTCAAGTTTGGTCCAGATTTAGGCTGTTCCTCTGATGTTCCTCGTGATCCTCCGATGTTCCTCATGTTCTTCTGATGTTCCTCTTGATTCTCTGATGTTCCTCTGATGTTTCTTATGCTCCTCTTGTGTTCCTCTGGACCCTCTGATGTTCCTCATGACCCTCATGTTCCTCATGATCCTCATGTTCCTCATGATCCTCTGATGTTCCTCATGTTCCTCTGATGTTCCTCTTGATTCTCTGATGTTCCTCTGATGTTTCTTATGTTCCTCTTGTGTTCCTCTGGATCCTCTCTGATGTTCCTCATGTTCCTCTGGTGTTCCTCTGGATTCTCTGATGTTCCTCATGATCCTCCGATGTTCCTCATGTTCCTCATGTTCCTCTGATGTTCCTCATGTTCCTCTGAAGTTCCTCATGTTCCTCTGATGTTCCTCATGATCCTCCGATGTTCCTCATGTTCCTCTGATGTTCCTCATGTTCGTCTGAAGTTCCTCATGTTCCTCTGATGTTCCTCCGTGATCTTCTGATGTTCCTCATATTCCTCTGATGTTCCTCTGATGTTCCTGTGATGTTCTTCATGTTCCTCTGATGTTCCTCATATTCCTCTGATGTTCCTCTGATGTTCCTCATGTTCCTCTGATGTTCCTCATGTTCCTGTGATGTTCCTGTGATGTTCCTCTGATGTTCCTCATGTTCCTCTGATGTTCCTCGTGATCTTCTGATGTTCCTCATATTCCTCTGATGTTCCTCTGATGTTCCTCATGTTCCTCATGTTCCTCTGATGTTCCTCATGTTCCTCTGATGTTCCTCATGTTCCTCTGATGTTCCTCATGTTCCGTCTGATGTTCCTCATGTTCCTCTGATGTTCCTCTGATGTTCCTCATGTTCCTCTGATGTTCCTGTGATGTTCCTGATGTTCCTCTGATGTTCCTCTGATGTTCCTCTGATGTTCCTCTGATGTTCCTCTTGATCCTCTGATGTTCCTCATGTTCCTCTGATGTTCCTGTGATGTTCCTATGATGTTCCTCATGTTCCTCTGATGTTCCAGATGTTCCAGTACGCGTACACCGTCTCGGAGGTGACGTACATTTGGACGCGTAACGCCTCAGACTCAGTGGTGGTGGAAGGAGAGAGCTCCAGACTGAACCAGTACGACCTGCTCGGACAGTCTGTGGGCCAGGAGACCATCAAGTCCAGCACAGGTGAGTCCAGAACCAGGACTAGAACCTAAACCAGGTCTAGCCCTGTCTGTGTGTGTGTGTGTGTGTTTAGAGTCTGTCGTGGAGTCCTGGGTTCCGTCTAAAGCCCCTTGAGCTTTTTGTGGATCTGCACTTTTACATAATCGGGTTTGACTTCCCAAAGCGTTTGTTCTGAGCGTCTCCTCACTTCCTGTTACGTAACGTCGTAAACACATCAGAGATTTGACAAAGTGACAGAAGAAGTTCACGTTTAAAGAAAAACTCTCGTCCAGCTTCTCCTGGTTTCTTCATCTGACCCTCAAGTTCTGTTTGGATTTTTACTTTTCTGTGTTTAAGACGATGTCGCTCTGAAAATCTGAAAATACACACTTCTTTGGTAGTATTTGTAGTATTTGTAGTATTTGTTGTATTTGTTGTATTGTAGTATTGTAGTATTTGTAGTATGTGTAGTATTGTAGTGTTTGTAGTATGTGTAGTATTGTAGTATTTGTAGTATTTGTAGTATTGTAGTATTTGTAGTATCTGTAGTACTTGTAGTATTGTAGTATTTGTAGTATTTGTAGTATTGTAGTATTTGTAGTATTTGTAGTATTGTAGCATTTGTAGTACTTGTAGTATTTGTAGTATTTGTAGTATTGTAGTACTTGTAGTATTTGTAGTACTTGAAGTATTTGTAGTATTGTAATATTTATAGTATTGTAGTATTTGTAGTATTTGTTGTATTGTAGTATTTCTAGTACTTGTAGTACTTGTAGTATTTGTAGTATGTGTAGTATTGTACTATTTGTAATATGTGTAGTATTGTAGTATTTCTAGTATTTCTAGTATTGTAGTATTTGTAGTACTTGTAGTACTTGTAATATTGTAGTATTTGTAGTATTGTAGTACTTTTAGTATTTGTAGTACTTGTAGTATTTGTAGTATTGTAGTATTTGTAGTATTTGTAATACTTGTAGTATTTGTAGTATTGTAGTATTTGTAGTATTGTAGTATTTGTAGTATTTGTAGTATTTGTAGTATTTGTAGTATTTGTAGTATTTGTAGTATTGTAGTATTTGTAGTATTGTAGTATTGTAGTATTGTAGTATTTATAGTATTTGTAGTATTGTAGTATTTGTAGTACTTGTAGTATTTGTAGTATTTGTAGTATTGTAGTATTTGTAGTATTGTATTATTTGTAGTATTTGTAGTATTGTAGTATTGTAGTATTTGTAGTATTGTAGTATTTGTAGTATTTGTAGTATTTGTAGTATTGTAGTATTTGTAGTATTGTAGTATTTGTAGTATTGTAGTATTTGTAGTATTGTAGTATTTGTAGTATTTGTAGTTGTATTTGTAGTATTTGTAGTATTGTAGTACTTGTAGTATTTGTAGTATTGTAGTATTTGTAGTATTGTAGTATTTGTAGTATTGTAGTATTGTAGTATTGTATTTGTAGTATTGTAGTATTTGTAGTATTGTAGTATTTGTAGTATTTGTAGTATTGTAGTATTTGTAGTATTGTAGTATTTGTAGTATTTGTAGTATTGTAGTATTTGTAGTATTTGTAGTATTTTGTAGTATTTGTAGTATTGTAGTATTTGTAGTATTTGTAGTATTTGTAGTATTGTAGTATTTGTAGTATTTGTAGTATTGTAGTATTTGTAGTATTGTAGTATTTGTAGTATTTGTAGTAGTATTTGTAGTATTTGTAGTATTGTAGTATTGTAGTATTTGTAGTATTGTAGTACTTGTAGTATTTGTAGTATTGTAGTATTGTAGTATTTGTAGTATTTGTAGTATTGTAGTATTGTAGTATTGTAGTATTTGTAGTATTGTAGTATTTGTAGTATTGTAGTATTTGTAGTATTTGTAGTATTGTAGTATTTGTAGTATTGTAGTATTGTAGTATTGTAGTAGTAGTTTGTAGTATTTGTAGTATTTGTAGTATTGTAGTAGTATTGTAGTATTTGTAGTACTTGTAGTAAATTTGTAGTATTGTAGTATTGTAGTATTTTAGTAGTAGTATTTGTAGTATTTGTAGTATTTGTAGTATTGTAGTATTTGTAGTATTGTAGTATTGTAGTACTTGTAGTATTTGTAGTATTGTAGTATTGTAGTATTGTAGTATTGTAGTATCTGTAGTAGTATTGTAGTATTTAGTATGTAGTAGTAGTATTTGTAGTTTGTAGTATTTAGTATTGTAGTATTTGTAGTATTTGTAGTATTTGTAGTATTTGTAGTATTTGTAGTATTTGTAGTATTTGTAGTATTTGTAGTACTTGTAGTATTTGTAGTATTGTAGTAATTGTAGTATTGTGTAGTATTTGTAGTATTGTATTTGTAGTATTGTAGTATTGTAGTACTTGTAGTATTTGTAGTATTGTAGTATTGTAGTATTTGTAGTATTTGTAGTATTGTAGTACTTGTAGTATTTGTAGTACTTTGTAGTATTTGTAGTTGTAGTATTTGTAGTATTGTAGTATTGTAGTATTTGTAGTATTGTAGTATTTGTAGTATTTGTAGTATTTGTAGTACTTGTAGTACTTGTAGTATTTGTAGTATTGTAGTACTTGTAGTATTTGTAGTACTTGTAGTATTTGTAGTATTGTAGTATTTGTAGTACTTGTAGTATTTGTAGTATTTGTAGTATTGTAGTATCTGTAGTACTTGTAGTACTTGTAGTATTTGTAGTATTTGTAGTATCTGTAGTACTTGTAGTATTGTAGTACTTGTAGTATTTTGTAGTATTTGTAGTACTTGTAGTATTTGTAGTATCTGTAGTACTTGTAGTACTTGTAGTATTTGTAGTATTTGCAGTATTGTAGTATCTGTAGTATTTGTAGTATCTGTAGTACTTGTAGTATTGTAGTATTTGTAGTATTTGTAGTATTGTAGTACTTGTAGTACTTGTAGTACTTGTAGTATTTGTAGTACTTTGTAGTATTGTAGTATTTGTAGTATTTGTAGTACTGTAGTATTTGTAGTATTGTAGTATTGTAGTATTTGTAGTATTTGTAGTACTTGTAGTACTTGTAGTATTTGTAGTATTTGTAGTACTTGTAGTACTTGTTAGTATTGTAGTAGTACTTGTAGTATATTGTAGTATTTGTAGTACTTGTAGTATTGTAGTATTGTAGTATTGTGTAGTATTTGTAGTACTTGTAGTACTTGTAGTATTTGTAGTATTGTAGTACTTGTAGTATTGTAGTACTTTAGTATTGTAGTATTGTATTTATTTGTAGTACTTGTAGTATTGTAGTACTTGTAGTAATTTGTAGTACTTTGTAGTACTTGTAGTACTTAGTTGTAGTATTTGTAGTATTTGTAGTACTTGTAGTATTTGTAGTATTGTAGTACTTGTAGTATTTGTAGTATACTTGTAGTAACTTGTAGTATTTGTAGTATTGTGTAGTATCTGTGTAGTACTTGTAGTACTTGTAGTATTTGTAGTATTTGTAGTAGTTACTTGTAGTATTGTAGTATTTGTAGTACTTGTGTAGTATTTGTAGTACTTGTAGTATTTGTAGTATTTGTAGTACTTTGTAGTAGTATTGTAGTACTTGTAGTATTTGTAGTACTTGTAGTATTGTAGTATTTGTAGTACTTTGTAGTATTTGTATATTGTAGTATTGTAGTATTTGTATTTTGTAGTACTTGTAGTACTTGTAGTATTTGTAGTATTTGTATTGTATACTTGTAGTACTTTGTAGTATTTGTAGTAGTTTGTAGTACTTGTAGTATACTTGTAGTATTTGTAGTATTTGTAGTATTTGTAGTACTTGTAGTATTTGTAGTACTTTGTAGTAGTATTTGTAGTATTTGTAGTACTTGTAGTACTTGTAGTATTTGTAGTATTTGTAGTACTTTGTAGTATTTGTAGTATTGTAGTACTTGTAGTACTTGTAGTACTTTGTAGTATTTGTAGTTGTAGTTGTAGTATTTGTAGTAGTATTTGTAGTATTTGTAGTACTTGTAGTACTTGTAGTATTTGTAGTAGTACTTGTAGTACTTGTAGTATTTGTAGTAGTAGTATACTTGTAGTACTTGTAGTATTTGTAGTATTGTAGTACTTGTAGTAGTTGTAGTATTTGTAGTATTTGTAGTATTTGTAGTAGTAGTACTTGTAGTAGTATTGTAGTATTGTAGTACTTGTAGTACTTGTAGTATTTGTAGTATTTGTAGTACTTGTAGTACTTTGTAGTATTGTTGTAGTATTTGTAGTATTTGTAGTATTTGTAGTATTGTAGTATTTGTAGTATTTGTAGTAGTTGTAGTATTTGTAGTATTTGTAGTACTTGTAGTACTTGTAGTATTTGTAGTACTTGTAGTATTTGTAGTATTTGTAGTATTGTTGTATCTGTAGTACTTGTAGTACTTGTAGTACTTGTAGTATTTGTAGTACTTGTAGTATTTGTAGTACTTGTAGTACTTGTAGTATTTGTAGTATTTGTAGTATGTTTTGTGTCTGTGCTGCAGAGCTTCATGTTTCTGAACATTATATAATCACTCTATTTCTACTCTCTCTCTCTCTCTTTCCTCTTTTCCTCTCTCCCTCCCTTCTTCTCTTCTTCTTTTCTTTTCTCTTTCTCTCTTTTCTTTCTCTCCGTCTTTCTTCTCGTCTTTCCGTTGTATCCCTCATTCGTTCTTGTCGTTTTTCAGACGTTTTTCTCTGAATCGTTCACGTTTTGGATCATTTCACTCTTCACTTCTCCTGACCTCAATATTCTATCGCTCCTCTTCTCCTCCTCCTCCATCTCTCCATCTCTCCATCTCTCCTCTCCTCTTTTCTCTCATGACGACGGTCTCTCCTCCCTCGCTCCCCTCCTCCTTCCTTCTCTCCATCTCTCTCTCTTTCTCTCCTCTTTTTTTCCATTCTTGTTGCTTCTCTCCGTCCTCTCCTTCTCCTCCCCTCATCCCTTCTTCTCCTCCTCTCTCCCTCCCTCTCTCCTCTCTTTTTTCTCTCATAGCGGTGCTCCTCTTTCTTCCTCTCCCTCTTTCCATCCTCTCTCTCTCCTTCACCT